TGGGCATAATCAAGGGAATTCCCTGGTGGTTCAGTGGTTAGGACTCTGTGCTTCCACTGCTGAGGGCATGGGTTCAATCTCCACTCAGGGAACTAAGATCCCTCATTCTGCACAGTGTGGGCCACCTTCCCTACAATTAAAAAAAAACAACAAAAATAGAATGGGGATAATCACATCTACCTTCTAGCATTGAGAAGTGGATTGTATAAAACACTGCACAGAGCACTGTCACATAATACATATTCCATAAAGGTGAATTTTATTATTGCTGTTATGTTTTTCTGTGGTGTGTGCTTCATCAGAGGAGCACACAGAATAAGCTCCCTCAACAAACAGGGACCAAAGTAAAGTTTTCCTTCCCAGCCCCTTTAAATTGCATGATGTCTTACCCTGGTTCAGAACTAGTCTGAGAGTCTTATCACCAACGCACGAAGGAATGTCTGGGCAAGCTAGATCCCACTAGGCATATGGGAGTGATACCTTCTGGCTCAGGGTCAGCTACACCTACCCGGATGCATTGATGACATCATCACTCCTCCCAAGGAACCAGAAGTAGCCCTGTTCATCAACAGTTGCTCTGTCCCCGGTGTTATAAAAGTCCCCACATTCCACTTCAGCTGTTTTCTCTGAGTTATTCTGCAAAGAGAACAGCACTCCCTTGTTGAAAGCAGTGAGTTTAGAGATGATGAGCCTCAACGTAGGGTTCAGATACTGGCTTCAAATCCTGCTCTACCCGACTTGGGCAGTTTTTATCTCTATTTTCATTGCATGCAAGCACTCAATGCATGCTACGGGTAAAATAATGAACAATACTAAACAAATTTTAAGAGCATTAAAAAAAAATAACAACTCAATTTTGTGTGGTACTCCAGTAGAATAAAATTTCTACTAGAGTATAACTCCATTTATTTTATTCTCTCTTATAAGCTCAGCATTCACACAGTGCCTGGACAGATGGGAGGTGTCAATAAATGTTGCTGAATGAATTTTCTTCGCAAAATATTACCTATTTGAGCCTCACACAAAGACTATGAAAATGGTGTTTTAATTAAACTTTTAAGATAGTTGTAGATTTGCATGCAGTTATGAGAAATAATTGGGCTTCTCTGGTGGCTCAGATGGTCAAGAATCCACCTGCGAAGTGAGAGAGGTGGGTTTGACCCCTGGGCTGGGAATATCCCCTGGAGGAGGAAATGGCAACCAACTCCAGTATTTTTGCCTGGAGAAACCCCATGGGCAGAGGAGCCTGGTGGCCTACAGTACATGGGGTCGCAAAGAGTTGGACACAATAAATGACTAAACACAGCATAATAAATAATATGGGCTTCCCTAGTGGCTCAGATGATAAAGAACCTGCCTGCAATGCAGGAGACCCAGGAGTTCAATGCAGGAGTTCAATCCCTGGGTTGGGAAGATTCTCTTGAGAAGAAAATGGCAACCAACTCAAGTATTCTTGCCTGAAGAATTCCATGGACAGAGGAGCCTGGCAGGCTACCCCATGTCCATGGGGTCCCAAAGAGTTGGACATGATGGAGCAACTAACACTCTGCTTTCATATGAAATAATAAGAGTGATCTTACCTACCTTTTACACAGTTTCTCCCCATAGTAACATCTTGCAAAAATAATGTTCAATATCACAACTAGGACATTGACATTGATACCATCCACAAATCTTACTCAGATTTCCCTAGTTTTTTATTTGCACTCATATATGTGGAAAAAGATATTCCCTTCAATTAGGAGCCAAAAGAGAGCTGAGGTAGCTATCTAATAACATTAGACAAAGTAAACTTGAAGTTAAATCTGTTACAAGTGATAAGAAAAGGATATTATATATTGAAAAGAGGGTTAACTCACCAAGACCATATAATGTTTAGAAGCAAGAATGCATTTAATAGCCTAGTACCAAATATTTGATGCAAACACTGACAGAATTAAAGGGAGAAATCAGAATTATATAAAATAAACATTGACAGAATTCAAGGGAGAAATACACAGTACTATATAAAAATTAAAGAGTTCAATATATTACTTTCAATAATGGACAGAACAACCCCATGGAAGGGGAGTAGGGAGCTACAGTTCAATGGGAACAAAATTTCTTCTGGGGATGGTGAAATTTTTCTGCAGATGCATAGTGGTGATGGTTATGCAATATTATAAATTTTACTCAGTGCTACTGAATTGTATGCTCAAAAATAGTGAAAAGAGTAAGCTTTATGTTAAATATATATAAATATATATTTTACTTCAAGAAAAAGGAAATGAAAGAACAGAATATAAACCAACAAATCTTAATGTAACATGATGTCTCCTTGCCATGAGAGCATGTGAAATGGGAGAAATCGATGTGGCCATATGTGAAGACACTTTTGCAAAATAAAATACATCATGTACAATTTTTTTCTTTTAAGTCATTTCTCTTGACCACCCCAATTCAATTTAACAAAAATCTCTGTGGTTGGATCCTACCATTTAAAAAATATTTCCTCAGATAATTCTAACTTGTAAGCAGGATTAAGAACTGATGATCTATATGCCTGTTACTCTGTGTTTATTTCTCTTTTATCCAACCTTTAAACTGTGCTACTGAGAATTAAGGCTAAGGCTTGCATAATTGCTTCTCAACATAGCACCACAAGAGAACCAGGATTCCCTTCCCACTTCAGGCCATAGTGTGAGGACAACAGTGACACCAGTGGTTGTGACTTTATAGAAACGGGATGGAGTCTGAGATCAGTTTCAGGGTTTGTCTACACTTACACAGTCAATCTTGGAAGCTGAGAATTTCCTTTTAGTGGCCACTGCTAGCTAGAGTTTGTCTGATGAAGAGTTATAGCAGGTTTCCTTATATTTTTTGTAGATTCCTTTATTGTAGATTTCTCTAATCACTGAATTTCTCATTTAGAGTTTGGGCCCTAAAACACATCACTTTGAACCCTAATCCTGCCATTTATTTGTCTTGGGGAAGACATGTCAAGCTTTCAATCTGCAGTTTCTTCCTCTGAAATAGGGGATAATGACACTCCTGGAGGCTCAGCAAGATTTAATAGATTTGTGTGCATCCTGTTGGTAGTAGGTTGGTATGATTTGGACCCATTCAAAGCCAACATTCTTAGCCAGAAGAGATAGTTGGACTTCAAGTCTATTGGTTCTGAAGTTAAGCTGTTATCTACTCCATTAGCCATCCTGTAAGTGTCAGATGGGTTATGATAGAAAGGGATGTGGGACCACATTATGAGCTTTGAGATTAATTAAAGCAGATTTCATTGACTTGGCGTGAATAAAGGAAGATGGAAGAAGTTTCAGGATGCAGAGTTGAGTCCAGTCTGTTATCACCTACACAGCTCCCTGTGAGGATTCTTGGAGCCTGTTTGGAAGCAGATGGTGTGTTCTTACCTCATAGTACATGAAGAGGCCTATGGGCCTGGTGGGCTTGATCCTGATGCCAATGCTTCCTTCCGTGTTGGGAGGCTGGATATTGCCCTTGTCATCAATGATCTGGAGCAAGAGATCTGTGAATCCCACCCTGCAAGGATCCCCAACATTCCTGCCCCACCCAAATATTGCCTGGCTTATTCATGTGACACAGTAGGGGTAACTGGGGAACGGGGTTGGGATAGAGAAGCCATCTCAGAAAATAATAAAACTGTCAGAAGTCTTCGAAGCCAGCAAATGGTGAAATCCAAGTCATGGGTGCATCTATTTGTTTCATAGATATATACGCATCCCAAATGTGTCTTCAAGCTAGAAAACATGGATCAGGAAAGACTAAAACAAAAGTAGTGGAGAGAGCCTCCAGGGCTGCTAGAAGTACTCTTTCACCAGGCTGGGTGAGTGAGGCCTCTCGCTGTCCTGGCAAACTGCACTCGTGCCCAGGACATTGTAGTTCTCACCAGACACCTCCCCAGGAAATTAGAGGAAATGTAGGCAGAAGAGGAGAAAGGAAAACTGGAAGGCATGGCCGGTTCTGTCATCTCATGCCACACAATGGTCTCATCTTAGCCCAACACCAACTGCTCTCTGCCAACATCTTTCCCATCAAACCTGAATGTCAAAGGGTGGGATGGCCTTCCCCATGGAACCTGGCTTGATCTTCATCCCCCGGAGAGTGCCACAAGCTATTCCCTGTTGACAAAAGAAGAGAACTGGGGTTGGCCATGAGTCTAGGCTGATCACAAAGCTGCAAGAATCAAACACAGCATCCATGCTCACAAATGTCATTTAATGTTATGCGAAGAAGCATAGCATTGTGGGGAAGCTGGAAGGTATTGATCCAACTCTAGTCAGCAGGCATTCGCTGCATCTGACTTGAACTGGGACTGAGCCTGATGCTGGATCTGATTCCAGTGGGAGAGGCCAAGAAGAATCAGAGGAGTAAGCTCCAGGCTGGGGGCATGTAATCTAGGCTGCGGAGTTCACACTGTATGCTGGACATGTGTCAGTGTGCCGGGAGAAGGCCACAAGTCCATTTAATAAACATTTACTTGGAGCTGCCTCAACTACTTTTCAGAGTTATGTTGAAATTATTCACATTGTTTATGTTGTTCCCTTTGTACTGGCCTACTCCTTCAGTCTTCCTGATGAAGATTTTTCCTTCTTAACAGTTCTCTAAAATATCATTCTTCCTAGAGTTAAGAGCTTTATACCCAGATAGACCACAGGTTGACTCCACCCTTCGCTAGCCATGTACCAATTAATCCCCCTTGATTTCCTCTTCTGTCAAAGGAGGATAATTATAACATTTATCACTTTGAGTGCTTTTGAGTGTGTGCCAGGCACACACCAAGTATTCAATAAACAACTACTTCTAACTATCATTCAGGTCCCAAGAAAAGTAAGTTGGAAGATTCTCTTTCTGTAGTATTTCCCCCCACACTTCCATTGTTGCCAATAGGGCATTATATTTGTTGTTGTTAGTCTGTTTCCCTCAGTAGATACTGAGCATTCAGAGAATAGAGATGTCCCACCCATCTCTGCACCCCCAGCATCTAAACACAATATCTACCTAAAAACCAACAATGAAAACCATAAATGCAGTAAGAGTTGGGCACTGTGCCCAGAGATGTGTATAGTTTCTTTCATTTACCTTATCACAACCTTGCAAGATTGGCATTGCATTTCCATTTTAGAGATGGGAAAGCTAGACTCTGCAAGACTCAGTAATATGCCTACAGTCTTGAAACCTATAACTGGAAGGTTGAGATCTGGACGGGGATCTGAGCTCCTGGAAGAAGAAGCACTTTCTCCCTGGCTGTCACTGGTCATACTATAGGCATGTAGAAAATGTTGCACAGGTGCTTGGACAGGTGTGAAAACTTTTGGTGAAATGAAGCACCATCTAGGTATCAGAGAGTATTCTGTCATGAGTCATTGAGAAAAAGGGTCAAGTGTCGTGAGTGTAGTGTGTAGTTCTAACCTCATTCTCCTTGTCCGAATATAAACTGTAAACCAGCAAGGACATACCTAGAGTCTTAACATTTCTCAGATCTGGAAGCAGACCCCAAAACTGATTATTTAATTTTTGTTTTGGAAAATAATGTCAGACAAGTGAATTGGGTCTAGAACATCTATTTTGCTACAGGTCCTGAGATGACAGTCATCCCTCTGTCACCTAAGGGGATGATAGGGAGGTAGGGGAAACTTGATTGGTCCAGCATGGGAAATGGATTGAGAAAGTGTTGGAAGAAAAGTACCTGATCACACTATCATGGATAAAGTCCTTGAGGTTAAGACACGCTTGATACTATGAATGTCCTGCCCACCTGACTGGTCAGTGATCCTTTTGGGGATCACGCTGTGTATATATGGGGGTGTATACAGAAGTCTCTCCCCATGCTAGTGTCTCACAATCAAAGCTGTCTGTTCTCTAAACAGGCAGAAATGAACTAGTGAACTTCTAGTACTAGTTCCTGCCTGCTCCTCTAGGTGCTGCCTAGGAAGAGATGGTGAAGTGGACAGGATCTGTGGTGGTGGCCTGCATGTTTCTGGAGAATGCCATTGATCCCACTGCCCCTCCTGGGCTCCCTTAAACTGATTATCACAGGTACAGTGGCACCATGTCCTTAGACCCTTTTCTAAGTTTTTTTCCAGTAGTTTTCAGCACGTTGGTCTTTTGACAAATGGATGAGCTACGAATTGTCTTTTCTGTCAGTTTGTCTGGGATAAATTAGCTAAGAGCTCTGGAGCCTCCCATTGGCTTTGAGCAATGCTGTGCATACAGTGGTGCCTCTGCACATCCTCAGCATGATTCAGCTTATCTCCTGAGCCCAGTGGATGAGCACATCTTGACTGGTCCAGAAGGGACATTTCACTTACCGTTTCTGACTGTCCGTAGGCCTGGTAGAGCAGAACCCCTGTCTGTCTGTCCCACTGTTCTTGCTCCTCGGGCAGCAGGGCTTCCCCACCAGTAAGGCAGTGTTCCAGGGTGGGGAACCTAAGACTGAGGGGAAGGCAAGGTGTCAACAGAGACTCAGATTAGGCTTGGGTGCTCTACTTTAGGCCCAGGATGTTAACAGCACTATCATCTGGATCACTCATGCTTCTGCTTCTTCACTTTCTTACTTTGCCTCTGGGCATTTTACTCATGGTCAGCTCCAGGTGGAAGTCACTCATTTCCTTTTGGTCCCTGTTAACTTCTCTAGAAGAAGCTAAGTGGTGGTAGTGGTGAGTCTAAGGGGTTAAATCACAGAGATCAGGATTGAATTTGGATATTGATCTAATGGGGGTGGGGAGTGTGCCTAGAACTCATTCGAAGCATTCTGTGTAGCTAAAAGGGATATTTCATAAACCATAAGGACTGAGGGATAAGACCCCGAGGTTATGCTAGGATGATAATAAAACTACACTGTCTTCAGTGGACTTATATGAATTGAAGAGTTTTTGTTTATTCTCTGGCTGGAGAACATGAATTGGGGGTTGGAAGTGAATTGCTCAGGACATCAGGAAGATTGAGCTTTCTGTAAGAAAAGAAAAGGATCACAGGTAGCAGCCCTGAAGGAATTCTGGACTGAACAGAAAAGTCTGCTGTGAACATTTGCAGTAGTTTGCCAGATACATTGTGTGTGTAAATCCTCTCATCCATTTCTCCATGACAATGTCCATAAATAACACAGAAACTATCACAAAATGATGGATTCCCTGAAGGAAGTGGGTAAATGTGATTGAGGTCTTAGTAGCAGTTGGCATGATGCTGAGCTGGAACAGCTTCTAGGGATGAGGGAGGTGGCAGACTCCCTCATCACTCTCTCTTGGCAAAAACAGAGCCAGTAGTAATGGACAGGATGACTGGTTTCACTGAGAGCATGTTTCTCATTCTTATTGAGCTTTATCCAAAATACATAAAATGGGCAGAGTGTCCAGTGGAGTCAATAGTTAAGCCCTGGTTGAACTTTAACTAGGTTTGGTCACCTTCTCAGGGTTGTTACAAGAAGAGACTGTAATATAAGATTTGAAGTAAAGTTGGAAACATACTTCAACCAGATTGAGGGTTCGTGAATAAAATCAAGCTGTGTGTCAGTTATCTTAATAAACTGAACTCCTTAATATTTTAACTCTTATGTCTAAAACATATTAGCTCTGATTTTGAAGTAGCCATTTCACTTTCAGAGTTATGTAAGTTAAATAAGAGTTATATGATCGACCATAAGGTTCAAAGAACAGATTTCAAGTTTGTTAAAAAATAATCCACAAACGTGAAAATGCAAAAACAAAACCAGAGAATATAAACATATTAGGTTGGCAAAATTTAAAACTTTGACAATAACTAATACTACTTATGTCCAACCTAGATAGCATATTAAAAAGCAGAGACATTACTTTGCCAACAAAGGTCTGTCTTAGTCAAGGTTGTGGTTTTTCCAGTGGTCATGTAGGGATGTGAGAGTTGGACTGTGAAGAAAGCTGAGCACAGAAGAATTGATGCTTTTGAACTGTGGTGTTGGAGAAGACTCTTGAGAGTCCCTTGGACTGCAAGGAGATCCAACCAGTCCATCCTAAAGGAGATCAGTCCTGGGTGTTCATTGGAAGGACTGATGCTGAAGCTGAAACTCCAATACTTTGGCCACCTCATGCGAAGAGTTGACTCATTGGAAAAGACCCTGATGCTGGGAGGGATTGGGGGCAGGAGGAGAAGGGGATGACAGAGGATGAGATGGCTGGATGGCATCACCGACTCGATGGACATGAGTTTGAGTAAATTCCGGGAGTTGGTGATGGACAGGGAGGCCTGGCGTGCAGCGATTCATGGGGTCGCAGAGTCGGACACGACTGAGTGACTGAACTGAACTGAACTGAACTGAATACTACCAAACATATGGAGCAATGGGAATTCTCCTACCCTCCTAGTGTAAGCATACATTGGTTGAATACTTTGGAAAACAAAGTAGTAGGGTCCAATGTCAGTGTGACCTAACAATTCCTTTCCCAGAGAAGTTCTACAGAAATGTGTGTTTATGTATCACTATACATGTGCAAGAATTTGATGTAGCATTAATCAACCCCAAAATGAAACATATCCAAATGTCCACTAATATAATTCATTAAAAATGTGGTACTTTTATAAAATTGACTCCAGTATCAGGTAACAGTGCAGACACATCTTAGAAACATAAGGGTGAAAAACTAGGCCAAATACTATAGAACAATGTATAATTACATGAGGTTCAAAAGCAAGTAAAATAGAACAATTTTTCTGGGGATATTTCCTTAGGAGGTAAACTAAGGGAAAAATGAGGAAATTAACGCCATGAAAGCCAAGACAGTAGATTCCTTTAGGGGAGATGGAGACGCATGAGAAGGGCTGTGGGGGGCTGGCAATATTCTCTTTTTGTGACTTCAGTGAGTAGTTACATAGATGTTTTGTTTTCAGCAACTCAGTAAATGTTTTCTGTATGTTTATTTCACAACAAAAATGCTTAAAAAAGAAAAAGAAACAAAATGATGACGGTTCACTCAATGTTTCATTTGGTTCTCTGATTCCTGTGTAAAGAACTAAGACTGGCTGCTAATTATCACCACCAACACTTACCACACACACACACACACACACACACACACACATAGAATATCCTCAAAGAACCATAGTTAAAAACAGACTTCAGTGTATCAGATTACTTAAAATGGTACCCAAATGTTCTTGTTACCAGCCACAGCCACTTCTACCTTACCTGGCAAAATTCTGCTGCAAAATCATTCGATACACAGAAGGTGCAGCAAGGCATTGGGTAATTGGATATTTGAACAATGTCTAGGAAGTGAGGAGAGAAGAAACTTTATTTGTACAATTAACATTTAAAATACAAATCTGTTATTAGCATTTTAATTCTGATCTTTCCTCTAGGGGAGCCCATTTATTCATTTGCTAATTCTTTCAATATATAAATTGAGCACGAATTTTATACATGGCATGTGTCAGGTACTAGTGGGGGAACACAAGAAAGCCTAAGTTGAGGTGTTGGTCAAAGAATTGATGGAGGGAAAGTTTTGTGAATTTGAATAGTAATTTTTTAATTTGACACCTTTCATTTTAGTCACTATCTCCCATCTTCAATAAGAGAGATTGAAACTAATAATAAGTCAATTTAAAAGCTTATTATTAAAAGTTCATGGAAGTAACAAGTATAAAATATAGTGAACAAACTTTCAAATGCAGTTTTGAGTAAATTTGTAGAGTTAATACTTTGAAATAACTCAAGCCTAAAATACACTGAGACTTTAGGGACACCCCTTGTAGGGAAAGGAGAGTTGGACCTGCCGGGGGAAGAGGAAAGGTAATAGATTGAGGTCGTTTGTGCAGCTTTATGCCTCAGAGACTGGTAGAATGAAGGCAGGAAATAATGCAGGAGAGGCAGATATTGATATAGGATCAGGGAAGGAGAAATTGAAGGGGCAGTTTCGGGTGTTGAAGGGATGATCAGATAGGCCTAATCAGCCAGCAGAAAGATGTGGTGAAACTATCTGGGAGAGAAAAGAGGAGATAATTTTGAGAGCCATCTGAGTAGATGCGCCTGCTGGAGAAACTGAAGAGAAGGAAATTACTTGGAAGGGAGGGAAAGTTGAGGGCAGGGTCTTGGAAGAGTGCAATGTTCAGGAGTAAGCTGGGTAAAGAGGCTGTGGCTGTCCCAAGTGGAGAATGTTCTATGGAACAATTTTGACATTAAGGAAGGAAAGATGGGGTCGGTCCAATGTGTACCATGGTGAAGGGAAGATATTTTTAGGATGAGGAACTTTGAATGTTTATTGACTGAGGGAGTAGCATCAATGAATAGTGACAGATTGAAAATACAGGAGAAAAGGTGTAGTGAGTTTAAGAGTAATAGAGAGGGGCTCCAAACAGAGGGCAGGGAAAAGAACAAGACTGGCAGCAGGTGCCAAGTGGGAGCTGGCCTTTGAGAGGGGAAGAGGCATGTCTGTCTCTGAGATATAAAGCAGGGGAATGAGTGGAGACACAATTTTCAGGTGAAGAGAAATACAGAGAAGGTGTTCATGCAGGTGACCTCAATTACTGTCGTAATGTATACTTAATAGCAACTGCTACCATTTATTGAGTATTTTCTATGTGTTACTTTCAGGGCTAAGCACTTCACACATAATCTCATTAATACTCTCAACAATTTTGGAGATAGCAACCACTAAAACTCCCATTTTACAGATAAGGAAACTGAAGCTCAGAGTGCCACTAATAAATGTCAAACATGGGATAAGTAACTAGCTCTGCCATATTCAAAGGCCTCTGTTTCTCAACACATCATTAAATTGAGTATACACACACACCCCCACACACCCACATGCACGCACACACATTCACACTCCAGCTACCTGGCCCTGGTAGAGCCAGGATCCATGAGACCTGAGCTTGCTTTTATTTCTCAGAAATTATATTCTGGTTCCCAAGTCCACAAAGTCTGATCCATAGGTCTAGGGAAAGGTTTGGCATGTGTGTTTTCTTCAAGGTTACATCTTGATGTAATTCTGATACAATGATTGATTCAGTGCTTCACACTTTAAGAAACCCAGAGCCAGGGTTGTGTTAAGAGACTTCTTTGCTAAATAAAATATTTCTCAATTGGGTCCAACTTTTCAGCTTGAAATGACTTTCTTCTGGGAGTTTGTTGATGTTGAAAGGTTAACCTTCTTACCTCTATAATGACTTTAGGGTCAAACTGAGGCAGATGATGTGCAAAGACTGTAGACCCCGCTGTCCATGGTTCAAATAGGCACCCCAAGTTAGCCAGAATCCAGCCTGTGTCTGACAGGCACCAGAAGATATCAGACGTCTTCAGCTGCAACAATTTCCTGCTATCTCCAAAATACGGTTGGCCTCAGATACTACTGTGACTACTATCCTCCCCTTCTTTCCACCCTCATTCCTCAGGGTTTTGCTACTCAAGTTTTTATCATTAGTACAGATATCAACTGTCTCCAAAAAGCCTTCTCCTCCCCTGGTTTGGTTGAAAAGCTAGAAAATATATAGAACATGGTTTGGTCTTAATATTATTATTTGGAGGAGGGGAAGAAGAGGGAGAAGAGTTTGGTTTAACATTGATTAAATAGTTATCCCAGCTTCAGCTCTATGTTTGTTCCACGATAGGGAAGTGGCTTAGTGTGGCTTAGTTTCAGATATTATTTTCCCTAAGAGCTCATGATTGGGAAACTCCACTGATCAGGGAAGGAGAAATTGAAGGGGCAGTTTCGGGTGTTGAAGGGATGATCAGATAGGCCTAATCAGCCAGCAGAAAGATGTGGTGAAACTATCTGGGAGAGAAAAGAGGAGATAATTTTGAGAGCCATCTGAGTAGATGCGCCTGCTGGAGAAACTGAAGAGAAGGAAATTACTTGGAAGGGAGGGAAAGTTGAGGGCAGGGTCTTGGAAGAGTGCAATGTTCAGGAGTAAGCTGGGTAAAGAGGCTGTGGCTGTCCCAAGTGGAGAATGTTCTATGGAACAATTTTGACATTAAGGAAGGAAAGATGGGGTCGGTCCAATGTGTACCATGGTGAAGGGAAGATATTTTTAGGATGAGGAACTTTGAATGTTTATTGACTGAGGGAGTAGCATCAATGAATAGTGACAGATTGAAAATACAGGAGAAAAGGTGTAGTGAGTTTAAGAGTAATAGAGAGGGGCTCCAAACAGAGGGCAGGGAAAAGAACAAGACTGGCAGCAGGTGCCAAGTGGGAGCTGGCCTTTGAGAGGGGAAGAGGCATGTCTGTCTCTGAGATATAAAGCAGGGGAATGAGTGGAGACACAATTTTCAGGTGAAGAGAAATACAGAGAAGGTGTTCATGCAGGTGACCTCAATTACTGTCGTAATGTATACTTAATAGCAACTGCTACCATTTATTGAGTATTTTCTATGTGTTACTTTCAGGGCTAAGCACTTCACACATAATCTCATTAATACTCCCAACAATTTTGGAGATAGCAACCACTAAAACTCCCATTTTACAGATAAGGAAACTGAAGCTCAGAGTGCCACTAATAAATGTCAAACATGGGATAAGTAACTAGCTCTGCCATATTCAAAGGCCTCTGTTTCTCAACACATCATTAAATTGAGTATACACACACACCCCCACACACCCACATGCACGCACACACATTCACACTCCAGCTACCTGGCCCTGGTAGAGCCAGGATCCATGAGACCTGAGCTTGCTTTTATTTCTCAGAAATTATATTCTGGTTCCCAAGTCCACAAAGTCTGATCCATAGGTCTAGGGAAAGGTTTGGCATGTGTGTTTTCTTCAAGGTTACATCTTGATGTAATTCTGATACAATGATTGATTCAGTGCTCCACACTTTAAGAAACCCAGAGCCAGGGTTGTGTTAAGAGACTTCTTTGCTAAATAAAATATTTCTCAATTGGGTCCAACTTTTCAGCTTGAAATGACTTTCTTCTGGGAGTTTGTTGATGTTGAAAGGTTAACCTTCTTACCTCTATAATGACTTTAGGGTCAAACTGAGGCAGATGATGTGCAAAGACTGTAGACCCCGCTGTCCATGGTTCAAATAGGCACCCCAAGTTAGCCAGAATCCAGCCTGTGTCTGACAGGCACCAGAAGATATCAGACGTCTTCAGCTGCAACAATTTCCTGCTATCTCCAAAATACGGTTGGCCTCAGATACTACTGTGACTACTATCCTCCCCTTCTTTCCACCCTCATTCCTCAGGGTTTTGCTACTCAAGTTTTTATCATTAGTACAGATATCAACTGTCTCCAAAAAGCCTTCTCCTCCCCTGGTTTGGTTGAAAAGCTAGAAAATATATAGAACATGGTTTGGTCTTAATATTATTATTTGGAGGAGGGGAAGAAGAGGGAGAAGAGTTTGGTTTAACATTGATTAAATAGTTATCCCAGCTTCAGCTCTATGTTTGTTCCACGATAGGGAAGTGGCTTAGTGTGGCTTAGTTTCAGATATTATTTTCCCTAAGAGCTCATGATTGGGAAACTCCACTCCCAGTTTGTCCACAGTCGAGGAGGGAGAAGATCTGTCACGTAAGGTCATACTGCTGGAGGGTTTTATCTTTCCCACCAAACCCTGAAGCCACTGACAGGGACGCAGAGGCCTGTCATTTGTGTGGTTTTCAGAATGCCTTCTGTTTCTACCCATCTCCTCTGAAGGTGCTTAGGTAGGACCCAAATGTCTTTTGACATTCAGAGGTCTCTGTCAGCAAACACTTATACCTAGCCTATACTCACACCCTTAGGGGTCTGAAGCAAAGACAGCAAAAGGAATAAACAGGATGGGGTCAATTCCACCTAGAGTTCCTTTCCCAGCACATACACATGCACATTCCACCCCATATCTGTGGCCCAGCTTCTAAGTTGGTGCCCCCTTTCCTACCATGCAGGGAAATAGGATCGTAAAGCAAATCCGTGGCTGTGCTTTGCCATCTTGGGGAAGCCTGTGGTCCCACTGGTGAAGAAGATGGCCATTGGGTCCAGGGTCTTTGACTTAATACAGATGTGATCTGGGGAGGCTGATCTGCAAAGGAATTCAATGCAAAAGGACAGAAGTCATGTTTCTTACTTTTTCCTTCTCTGGGGCAGCAAAAGAAACAATATGAGGCTTTGAGTTAGAAAAATGGGGTTTGTAACTCCCAGTATTAGGCATCAAACAAAGTTTATGGGAGGCTCAGATAGGTGACCTGACATTTCTTCCTTTTGAAAAATGGGGAAAATATGATGGATTATTTCTTAATTTAACAAACATTGAAATAGTATTTCCTATGATTCTGGACAAGGCTTTATATGATTTACAAGTAAGAATTCATTCAATATTCAGAACAACCCTAAGAGGTAAGTGATGCTTTTATGCACCTTTTGCAGATGAAGAAACGGAGGCTCAGAGTGATTATGTAACTTACCTAAAGACGTATAGCCAGCAAGTTGCAGAGCCAGGGTTCAAACTCAGTCTGATCCATACACTGTGCTCCTAGTCAAATTGCTAACCTTGTTTTTTACACAGACTAGCTTTGTTGTTGTTTAGTCGCTAAGTCCCATGTGTGCTCAGTCGTGTCTAATTCTTGTGATCCCATGGACTAGAGTCCACCAGGCTCCTCTGTCCATGGGATTGCTCAGGTGAGAATACTGAAGTCGGTTGCCACTTCCTTCTCCAAGGGATCACCCTGACCTAGGAATCTAACCCACATCTCCTGTGTCTCCTACTTCGCAGGTAATTTCTTTAACACTGAACCACCTGAAAAGCCCCACAGACTACCTTTATAGGAATTTAACCTCATAAACTTGGTGTTGAGGGGTGGGGAAGAAAAAGCTAGGGAGAATGGAAGTGATATATCACACACAAACACACACACACACACACACACACACACACACACAGGCAGAATCTGTGCTGTGTGTTTAGTTGCTCAGTCATGTCCGACTCTTTACAACCCTATGGACTGTAGCCCGCCAGGCTCCTCTGTCCATGGGGATTCTCCAGGCAAGAATACTGGAGTGGGTTGCCATGTCCTCCTCCAGGGGATCTTTCTGACCCAGGAAGCAAACTGGGGTCTCCTGCACTTCAGGTGAATTCTTTACCAGCTGAGCTACCAGGTTCCTTCATATCCCACATATTGCTGCTTTGTATGTGGGAGCTTCTCCTAGACTGAGAGTCTCTTTCTTGAGCCTATTTTGATGGTAAATATAAGTTTCCTTGCAAGTATTCAATCAGAGAGACTGCAAATAATCCCAGTGCTGGGGGAAGCACTGGCTGTTGCGGAGAAATGATACCATACTGACTTTGGGCAATTTAGGGGAGTTCAAATGAATATTCTTTGTTTAGGCTATTTTCATTCAATTTTCTTTGTAATCTAGCATAAGATGTGATTCCACTGGTATATTTGCCTTTTGTGGTTAAAGAGCTTCAAAAACTGTGGAGTTACTTTAAGAAAACAAATCCAGCATGATTTGTGTGTGATATGAAAAATGCCTGAAGGCTTGCAGAATCAGTTTTGAGGGAGTTTTTGTTACCTCCAATACTTCCCTGACTTTTCCCTCAAGGTGTCCTTCTTGGCACCTACCCTAAGAGACGGAAAGTGCTCCCAAAACTGCCTGTCAGCCACAGCCTCATTCTTCACTGTCTCAAGTTTCACCTTAAAAATTCATCTTAACTTTCCATTCAACTCCTGTAAATGTTAATTTTTATATAAAAATAATGTTTCAGATTCTCCAACTATAAGGAAAATGAAATACAATAACCCTCTGACTCTATGTATCTTTGCACAAGGGTATATATTATTAGTGTATATATATATTAGTGAGAGAGGCATAGAAGCTCAATTTCCCTATTTTACAGATAAAAACACTTGCAGCTAAGAGAGGAAAATGACCTAACTGAGGCCTGCTTAGCAAATCAGTGACATATCTGGAGAGAGAAGCTCAGACCTGGTGAGTTTCCTCCCACTGGCTGATTCTCTACCAGCACTTGGGAGTGAGTAGCCTTCTGCCATTCTTCAGAAAGTACACTTGTCAGAACAGAAACTCACTTAAGCAGCGATCGGTAGTCCAGCCACCCTTCACGGCTGTGGTCAGACACCAGGAGCTTGGTTTTCAGAGAAGGACACTCAGGTGCCACAGAATCCACCTCTGGGGCAAGGGTATCTGTGGTCACGATGGCTTTGGCTCCAGACACTTGTAGTCGGTAGAGAATGTCCTTGGCCTTCATCTGGGTGGTCCCTGGCATGTAGATGACCCCTAGGTATGAGAAGGAAACTGCTTGTTTTTCTTTCGTTTTCACAGCTCCACAATCATGGGCTTCAGCCCTGGTTTATCTGCATAGAAATCTGCTAGCCTCTGTTATGCAAAGTACGGTCCAGAGCATCAGTACCACCTAGGACACAGAATCTGACCCCCAACCCCAAACTTACTAACTCAATCTGCATTTTAACAAGATCTCCAAGTGATTTCTATGCACATGAAAAATTTGAAAAGCCTACCCTAAACTTTTCTACTGTGGATGGATCTAGCCAGTAGAGTCCTTCTTTACACAACTATCCATGGGATCTGGGAAAGACACAAGTAGGACAGTGTCCCTGCTGCTGCATCTCTGCCCCCATTTTTTCTCCTCTCACTTCTTTCTCTATCCATCTCTTGTGTCACCTTGAATTTCCTCTGTTTCCTTTGTTCCTCATACCCTAAGTTAACCACACTCTCTTTTCAACTTTCCTACCTTCCTTCTCCCATCACCAACAATTAATTCAAGTTTTGTGTGCTTCTATTGGATTCTAATTTTCCCACCAGGTGCCCTTTTCTGAGTCTTCCTGCTACTCACCTTCCATATTACTAGCCTGTTTATGTTCCACAGTGCACTGACTTCTTCTCCTTCACAATTCTTCTAAATTGTGTCTAAATTCTAATTGTGTCCTTCCCAAAGCACAGGTTTTGCTAACACCTGTGCCCTCTCTCCAGGAAAACCCTCTTCTCGTCATCCTGACATTGGAGTGAGCACTGCACACTCTTCACCTTTCTCTCACACAACTACATTCTCTATTTCAAAATGACCCTTCTCCATCTAGGCTACTCCTGACTCAGAATTGTTTTCATGTACTATGCATCTTCTTAAAATTTCATCCTTTGCGTCTACTCTTCTTTCATTCTTTTTATCCCAGAGGTCTCAACTCATGTCTTGGATCTCTCATGTGTGTAGAGAGAACAAATGAGCCAAGACGGTGTCTTCAAGCTCTCTCGCTCCACGTTTTGTAAATAATGACTGCGTAGCAGCTGAGCGCATTTATCTCACGGCGCATGCGCGTCACGAGGTTCCCGCTTGGTCGGGGGTTCAGTGCTGCGGGCAGATAGGAGTTCCGCCTACAAAGCAGCAGCATTCCTGCTGGATCACGGCTGTGTCCCGCTGGGTCAGCCACCAGAGGAGAGAAAATACGTGTCTGCTGCTACAGCTGCTTGTCCCAGGCAGGAAAGAGGTTGTGTTGTGTTAGGTTATGCTATGGCTGCTGCGTCAGCCAGGAGAGAATAAATGTGTCTGCAGTTCCTCTGGCTCCGCGAGTCTCCTTCCAGCCTCAGCTCGTGCCTTACCCTGGGTTCAAGGAACAGTGTGCAGAGTGTGAACGGGATTAGATATAAATCATGGAACATCTCTTAACGATACAGATGGCATGGCATCTCCATACTCACTCAGCCATCGCTGTTAATTCTTGATCTTGATGAATTAAATAACTGTTTGTGAGGAAATATGAGAGAGAATATATGAACAAGAACATGAATTACTGTATGAACATGCATGACAGAACTGAAGTTGATTCAAAAAAGAATCCATGAGCCACGTAGTGTTTATATAGGTCAATGCATAGACGATCATTAAAGGGAAAGGAAAATCTCAACAGAAGAATGCCAGCTAATAAGTGTGAAGTGTATGATATAAATAGAAATACCTAATATAAAACCACCATTAAAATATTTAATTCAGTCAAGACTCATCAATGAATTTTCAAGTCATAAAGTGAAAGACGGCTCAGGAAAGGATATTCACACAGTCCCATAATATTACATGACAGATTACTTACTAACTACAAAGGGAAAATGTACCTTTACAAAGCTGGATACTACCTTTTTAAAGTGATATAACAGTGTCATTGATGTTAGGACAAACCAACTGTGTGTATCCCCAATGTGGTGCACCAAGAAAGACACAAGTCCTTCTAGTACTTGTGCTAAGAATGTTCATCCTGAATATAATCATAAAGAAGGAGACAGAAATACACATTTTGAGGGATATTCTGCAACACATCTGGTTTAGGCACTTCAAAACTGTCATTGCATTGTCACATAGACAATATAGAATGTAGAGAAACATTTTATATTAAAGAAGACTGTGGAGATACAACAACTAAATGCAACACATGATCCTCAATTGGATTTTATACAGTTGCTTAAAAAAAAAAAAACACACACACCAAACAGTAGGTTGTGCAGTGTGGCACATGGGATCTTGGTTCCTAGAAGCTGTGACCCCTGCATTGGAAGCATGAGATCTTAACCATTGGACTGCCAGGGGAAATCCTGGGTTTTTGATTTAAGCACAAAAATAATCCTATAAAGGACATTATTGGGATATTTGAGGAATTTTGACTCTGGATGTACATCAGGTAACTATATTGAATCAGAGTGAGATTTCTTATGCAGTTATGTGAAAGAAATGTCATGAATCTTAGCAGATACTTATTTCAGTATTTATCTGGTGTTTATGGGTGTCACAGTGTCTGCAACTGATTCTTAAATGACTCCCTGGGAGAGAGAGGATCCAATGTGACAAAATGTTAATAACTGATGAATCTTATAAAGAAGTAAGAATGTCTGAGACTGTGTAGGAGAAAGTGTGTGTATGTGTGTGTGTGAGAGAGAGAGAGGAAGGGAGAATTATCACATTGTGCTTGATAGGTGTGAGTATAAGGGAAAGAGTGAATGAGAAGGAGTAAACTAGTATTTAAAGGAATTTGACAGAAGGAAAGACTATTAAGAAGAAAAAAACTAGGGGAAGAGGAAGCACCTAATATTTCAGGACCATTAGCTCTAGGCTCATCCTAAGGTCTCTTTGGTCACTAACCTGTTCGGATGCAGCCCACAGACACCAGCCACCACTCAGGCACTCGAGGCAAAATCAAGGCTAGACGGTCTCCCGTCTGAAGGCCGCAGGCCTGTGTGAGGATGTTGGCTGTGCGACGGGTTAAGTCTGTCATCTCTCTGAAGCTCCACTTCACTTCATCGCCTTGGTCATTCACCCACCACAGGGCTGGGTTTGGACTTCTCTTGCCCTCCTGGTTAAGATCATAAACCACATGTTAGGTCCTGCTTCAAAGGAAAGGGCACTAATTTGGTCGGTCCACTACCATAGTCATGTTCCTGTGAGTGTAGCTCAAGGTCCGAGATCCCGTGTTAAAACATTTACAGAGCCAAGAGAAGTTGGGGGGATGTGTGATCCAGCCAACTCCTGGTCTACTGTAACCCTCTCCTCTTAAATCACGTAAAACCATGAATAACCTTCATGTCACTTACTGAAGGCTTAAAATTTTATTCTCCCGTGTGTCTGCGTTTTTTCCACATGGACAGCAGGTTATTTTCCGTGCCTCAGTTTTCTCTTCTATGGAAAGGGTAGATTAATACTACCCAGAATATAGTAAAGTTTAAATTAATTATTTTAGAAGGAAAAGTGCCTGGTGCATAGTATGTGTTCAATAAAATTTGTTGTTTCTGTTTAGTCACTAAGTTATGTCCAACTCTTTGTGACCCCATGGACTGCAGGGTGCCAGGCCTCCCTGTCCTTTACTATTTTCCAGAGTTTGCCCAAGTTCATGTCCATTGAATTGGTGAGGCCATCCAACCAACCCTAAACTTCATTACCCCTAGACTTTCCCTATGAGTAATGCTAAGAGGAGTTTAAGTTGAAAGAACTTTAGAGAGTAACTTAAATATAAAAATATAAAATTATTTAATAGAGATAGATATACAGACAAATATAAAAGAAGTATTGTTATAATTTTGGTTCATAACTTCACTTTTTATTCTTTCACCATATGTAAAACACAAAAGCATAAAAAATAATTATAAACTATGTTAATGGATGCACAATATGTAAAGATATCTTTTGTGAAATCAGTAACATAATATAGGAAGGTGTAAGGGAACTGTAAAAGAGTAGGGTTTTGGATGTGAATAAAGTTAAGTTGCTATTAGTTTAAAATAAATTGTTATAATTTAGAATGTTATATACAATCTCTATGGTAACCATAAATAAATTATCTACAGAATATACACAAAAGGAAATGAAAATCAAAACATATCACTACAAAAAATCAACTAAACACAGAGGAAGGCAGCAATGATAAACTGAGGGACACGAAAGCTGTGATATCAAGGAAACAACAATATAACAATAGTAAGTCATCTTCATCTATGATTACTTTAAATGTAATGAATGAAATGCCTCAGTCAAAAGATCTAGGTTGGTAAACTGGATTAAAAAACAGAATTCAACTAAATACTATTGACAAAACTGTTATTTCTATGTAATGGGATATGATAAAACCAATCAAAAATGCTTTCAGAATGTTTCTGCAGTAAAAATCATACAATATCAATTTAGAAAAGTAAAATCATATTTACATTGAGTCTTCAGTTCTATAATAGTATCCATCCATTCATTCATTCATTTACTATATATCTGCTAATTCTCATTATTTCTTGGGCACTGTTCTTAAACCTACATGATACAATGGTGTACAAGACATTCATCTGCATATGTAAATGAATGGTTTTAAGTGTTTATGGATAATTTTCATTTTCTTGTTTAAGTCAAATCTTTAATTTTACCTAAGTAAAATGATTTAAGTTTTTTTAACTTCCCAAAAGAAAACACGTTTGGAGTAAAAGTTCAGGCAACACACAATTTTACTAACAGAAAAATTTCTTCAAATTCCTTATCACAAATTCAGTCTCTGAATGTCAACACTGAAAATTGCTTGATGTATAATCTTCCAGCAATTCTTCCCACATAAGTGCAAACGTGATCATATCAGCCTTGCCTCATATACTTGGAACACTAGAGTGTGGCTCACCTGATATACGATTTATATACATACATGCATACACACATACCTATATAAATTTTTATGTGTGTGTGTGTGTGTGTGTGTGTGTATGGAGAAGGAAATAGCACCCCACTCCAATACTCTTGCCTGAAAAATCCCATGGACGGACGGAGGAGGCAGGTAGGCTGCAGTCAATGCGGTCACTAAGAGTCAGACACGACTGAGCGACTTCACTTTCACTTTTCACTTTCATGCATTGGAGAAGGAAATGGCAACCCACTCCAGTGTTCTTGCCTGGAGAATCTCAGGGACGGGGGAGCCTGGTGGGCTGCCGTCTATGGGGTCGCACAGAGTCAGACATGACTGAAGCAACTTAGCAGTAGCATATATATACAATACACACACACACACATATGGAAAAATCAGTGCTAAAAAAAACCACTCTTGTCCATTGAATTAAGGAATGTTAGCAAATATAAATGACTAGTTGTGCATTCTCTGTATAAGGGGAACAGAGTATGTAACATTTCTGTAGGATTTTATAAAATAATAGAAATTCTGGGGTATCAAAGTGAAAACAATATTTGCTTTAATTCAGACAGAAATTCAGACTGAATTCTAGCAACTTGAAGATCTTGATTAAACAGTTGTGGGTTTTTGTGCTCAGAATTAATCTGATAATATGATACTAAGATTAGCATATTATGAAGAAGATAAAACACAACCTTTAAACTTTATATGAGATTTAAAGCTTTATGCAGTGAGATTTGAAGCCAAGGGAAGTTGAAAAATAGATTTTTAAAAAACCTACTGACTCAGCAATAAAAATTAATGAAGAAGAAATACACAAAGCAATATAGATGAATCTGAAAAACACCCTGAGCAAAAGAAACCAGACACAAAAGAGTATATTTTTTTTATTATTATTCCTATATTATTTTTATTCCTATATTGTTCCTATATAATTATTCCTATATTATTCCATTTCTATGACATACTAATAAAGAGAAATATAATGCTAGTGATAGCAAATCAGTGGCTACCTGGGGCTCCAGGTAGGGGTGGGTGGATATTGATTAGAAAAGGACAAAAGGAAATGGTGGTGATACTAAAACTTATTAAAATTTCATTTAAAATGTTTGAACTATATTATAGGCAAATTATAGATTAAAAGAGTTGATTTAAATAAATAAAAACTTACTCCTTGTTAATCTTTAACTAGAATATAATTTGAATACAAAAATTGGAAAGGTAGACCAATTACTCATGTGATTGACGAATGATATGATTCTTTCTGAATGTTAAAACATGTGAGTTTACTGACTATAAAAAGACTTGCCTCAGTTTTAATTAGAATAAAAGAAAAGTAGAATTTCTATAAATTAATGGTAGAATATGATAGATTTCATAGAATTCGAATCATAATTCACATAGATAATACATTTCCCCAACAATGATATACTTTACATTTTCTTAATTGCCTTTGGAATGTTTACTAACCACCAGAAATTTCAAAAGTTTGGGTGTGTGGTTTGGTCACAATTAAATTAGAAATCATTAACAAGAGGAGAAGCTCATCTCAACTATCAGGAAACTAGCCAATAAAAAGGCAAATAAAGAGAGTTTGACCTAATGGTAACAAAATATGCCATATCAAAATTTGTACCCCAAAAGAATGTGCTTAGTGGGAAATTTATATTTTTAATGTATATATTAGAAAAGGGGAAGGCTGAAAGGTAGGGACATAATCTTCCAACTCAATAAGCTAAAAAATAAAAAAAGGAATAGAAAATTATATCAAGGGAATGTACATGAAAAGAAATAATAAAGACAAGAGTAAGTATCAATGAAATGGAAAGCAAATACACAATACAGAATACCAGTAAAACAAAAACTGGTTTTGAAAAGATTAATAAAATTGGTAGATTCTTAGCAAGATGTGTCAAGAAAAGAAAGACAATAAAAATATCAAAATAACTAGGAATAAAAAGTGTACATTATTATAATACTTACAAGACATTAATATTTATAAACTCACATCTATTTTAAAAAGTTAAATCCATTACCAAAAGCTTTCCTACAGTGAAAATCCCAGATTTTATGGCAAAATATTTTGCTGTGCATATTAATGTGTTAAGAGTTTGACTTGAAAAACTGCTGCTTTTTGTTTTTTTTTTTTAAGAATACAGTGATTATTATATTTCAATCCTATCTCAATAAAACAAAAAAATTAGTGATAACTTTTAAATTCTTTATCAAAGCACTTAGAAGAGCATCTTGCATAAAGCAAATGTATTGAATGAATACATTTTAAAAAATTCTGGAATACAAATAGCAAATAATGAGGAATTGCAGGGTTAAATTAAATCTAAAGATGACCACAGTCACCAGTAGGCCAACAGCAGCTCCAGGTAGCCACTGTTGGGTACCTGAAGCTATCCCATGATCCAGGTTGACCCACCAGTGTGCCAAGATCAGCCCTGGAACATACTAGGTCACGTGGCTAACACCACCAGGAACCAGCCTTGCCCACCAGTTGGCAACCACTACATGTTACAGACAATGTCAGCCAACAAGTCTAGGGGCCAACCTTGTCTACCAGCATGCCCACAGTAGTTTGCCATGCCTTAACAGAAGAGCCCACATGCTCACAGAGGGGGGAACCACAGAACGTATAATTCTAGCGACCAGAGGGGAGTGTGCTGCTGAGCCCATAGGTTTCACATTAGGTCACTTCACCAACAGCAGAAACCATTTGTAAAGCTAGGAAGAAGGTTAAAAGGCAAAAGCAATAAAATCATCTATATTCACAATAAGCAGTTAAGAGATATGTAAAAGAAAAATATGTAAACTATGTCATAAAAAACAACAAACATGGGGGGAACAGTAAAAATGCAGGGTGGTTAGAAAGCATCTCACTTTAAGGGATCATCAACTTTATATATATTGATAACCACAAGCCAAAAACGTGCAATAGGTACACACACAAAAGAGAAAGAAATTCAAACATAACACATCAAATCATAAGGGAATAGAGCAAAAAAAGAAGGAACAAAAAAGTCATTACAAAAACAAGCAGAAAACAACAAAATGTCAATAAGTACATACCTAGCAAAACCTACTTTAAATATGAATGGATTAATATTCTAATCAACTGGCATAGAGTAGCTAAATGGTTTAAAAAAAAGCAAAATCAAAAACACAAGACTGATTATATCCTGCCTACAAGA